AGCACATAAAGATGCTTGGTATCATTGGTATCATTGGCTGTCGGAAAAATGCGAAACAAAGCACAGTGAGACACCATTGCCCGGGGACTGGCATGGCTATAATCACAAAGAAAACGAGTGGGAAAGACTGTGGAGAAACTGGAACTGTCATACATACGTACGTACAAGAAAGTAGGGCCAGGGACTTTAGGGCAACAGGGCGGCAATTCTTTAAACAGCTGATACTCGATGAATCGGCATCTCCACATGGAGGTGCACACCCAAGAGAGCTAAGAACAGACATCCGCACAAGGATTGCAACGTGAATATTCATAGCAGATTTATTTGTAATGGCCCAGACGCCCATCCGCTGGCGAATAAATAGTGAAACTGATCAACAAGGGGATAGGGGCAATCCAAAGGCGTTATGATTACCCAGAGCATTGGATGAATCTCGAATGTTGAAGTGAAGGAAGCCAGACATAGAGGCTAAATACCGCAGACCTCCACAGACAGAAAATCCCAGCACAGGCAAAGCCACAGCCAGAGGGAGCTGTGGATGGCGACGTCCGGGGTAGTGGCAATGTTCCATGTTCTGATGGGGATGGTGGTTCCACAATTGTAGGTATTGTCAACACCCATCAAAGCATGCTCTTTTTTTTTTTTTTTTTTTTTTTTTTTTTGACAGGCAGAGTGGACAGTGAGAGAGAGAGACAGAGAAAGGTCTTCCTTTGCCGTTGGTTCACCCTCCAATGGCCGCCGCGGCTGGCGCGCTGCGGCCGGCGCACCGCGCTGATCCGATGGCAGGAGCCAGGAGCCAGGTGCTTTTCCTGGTCTCCCGTGGGGTGCAGGGCCCAAGCACCTGGGCCATCCTGCACTGCACTCCCTGGCCACAGCAGAGAGCTGGCCTGGAAGAGGGGCAACCGGGACAGAATCCAGCGCCCCGACCGGGACTAGAACCCGGTGTGCCGGCGCCGCAAGGTGGAGGATTAGCCTAGTGAGCCGCGGCGCCGGCCCAAAGCATGCTCTTAAAACTGGCAACTTGAAATATTTAAATTGTAACTCATTAAACCTGGCTTTAACACAGACACTAAGGGAACCCGTTAATCTGGCAGGAGCGAACAGCTACTGCTTCCTTTTCTAACTGCTGTGCCTTTTCCCACTACAGAGAGAACCCATTTCCTTTACTGGGGGGACCTCAATGTTACAAGGAAACCAGGCAGGTGGGGTTTCTACTGGAGCTCTGGCCCCCAGTCAGACTCTGCCAAGGCTGGGGGCTGTGACATGGGGTTAAGGTTTTTCAATTCTGAGCCTCAGTTTCCCTTTTTCCATCCCAGACGCTGGGGACCGGGCAAGCTGCAGGGCCATTCTCTTACTCTCTGCCTGCCACAGGACTCAGAATTGAGATGACTCAACCTACTATCAGACAGTCACGTCTACTATTTGTGGAGTGGGAACTTTTTTGTCTCCCTTTCTCTGATACTGCTCCTGATACAGGGAGGTGGCCGGCCAGAGCTCTGTGCAAAGCTTGAATGTAGCTGGAGCTGAGAATCAGGCTGATCTGTGTGGCCAAGGCTCTGCACCCTCCCCTCCCACGGGCACACATGAAAGGTGGGAGATGGACAGCGGCTACAGCTTGAAGATGACTAACTCGAAATCCAAAATACTCGCAAATGCAAAACCGTCTGAGCTCTGCCCTGATGCCGCAAGCTGATGACTGTACAGCTGATCCCAAGTGTTGTGTCACGGTCACAGCCATGTCTAAGATCTCCTTCAGGCCCTGTGTGCAAGCTACGAGACACACGTGAATGCTGTGTAGATCTGGGCCCCACCCCCTTAGACATCTCACTAGGAATATGCAAGCAGCCCAGAATCTGAAATATCTGAACACTTCCGGTCCCAAGCGTTTCAGCTAAGGGGTCTTCAACTTGTGTTCTGGCAGGAGATGGAAGAAGAGGCACCCGCTGCTAGGTCTCAGCTTGACCACAGCCCCCCAGTACTTTTCATACCTCCCCTCTGACACCCTCAGCCAGCCTAGCGAATGCACCGATAAGCCCATTTCAGAGGAGGAAATAGAAGCCCAAGGAGGCAAAATTGCCCACAAGGACCAGAACCCATGTGTGGCCACCTGCTGAAACCTAAAATCACGAGTCACCAACGTGTCTGTGGACTTGCAAAGTCTCCAGGCCCCTGCTGCTGGGCGTCACTAAGGGGCCGGAAGTGAATACCACCTGGGGGGTGTCTCCACCCACCTTCCACCTGGCTCCACCTGCGGTCCCACAGGGGCTGCCAAGCAAGCGCACTTTCAGGATGAAGATCTTGCTTTGCCACTAGGGACTGCGTGTGCTGGACCAGCTGCTCAGCCACCTAGTGCCTCAGTTTCCTTTTCTGGAAAGCAGGGCTCGTGTGGCACTTAAGAAAGTCATCCTGAGAATAGAACAAGGCCTGGCACCAAGTTCAAGTTCAAGTCATGCTAGGGCCTATACTGAGCTGTGCCCGTCTGGGCCAGTGGCTCTGTTCTCTGAGCCTCAGCATTTTCACCTGTACGATGGGGATGAAGATGTTAGAACTACCAGGCTTGTGCACAGACATCTGAAGACACAATCTCCAAAAAGCTAAGCACCACAGTGGCCACCAAGTCCGCACTCCCTGCCCCTTGGCTGTCTTTGCTACTGACTGCCCAAGCATGCTCCCTGGCTGTCAGCGGGCGGGGTGGGCTTTCCTGCAGCACGACAGGAAGTTGATTAGTGCGAATTACCCTGTGCCGTTCAGCAGCCTCTTAATGAGATTGGTGTTACTCGGGCTGATCCCCCTTATCAGTGCGCGGAGAACGGCGCAGCTCACGACGCTTCGCTTCTCCCGGTGGAGCCAATCCCTTAATCCCGATTCAGCCTGGCCGGGATTCAGCCTGGCTTTACACTGGATTGCCGGCCAGGCATTCTCCTGCAGCGCTGGACCAGAACAAAGCAGCGCAGCCGGCACCTCCCACCTCCCACCTCCCGGAGGAAACCCTGTCAGGTGCTGGGGCCCCCTCCGGACTCTGCCTTGATTTACATGTTAATGGCCTCCGCCCTTGGCCCTTGGGCTGCCCCAGGGATGGGGAAGCAGGGGCACCCAGATTCTCCCTCAATCACTGCTCAGCTTCTAGAAGCTGGCAGGGCCCAGGTGGAAAGGGACAGAGGGACAGAGGGAGAGAGGGAGAGAGGGAGAGAGGAGAGAGGGAGAGAGTGAGTGTAAGGTGGAGGAGGCAGAACACAGAGGCCTGGCCTGCAGAAATCTTGGAACTAAGTTCACGCAGTGGTCCCCAAGTGGACTGCCCGCTGCTGTCCCTAGGCTCCTGGTCCCCGTGGGGTCAAGGGTCACCGTCCTAAGCTGGCATGCCAGGCCCTCCCTGGTGAAGGATGGCGGGTGATGACCCAGCCACACAGAAGGAAGGAGACACGGGAAGACTGGCAATGAGGAGGGAGGCTGGCGACCTGGGCTTTGGGGTCCCAGCGTGAGATGGAGACCGTGGCTGCTGTAGGTCACACAGCACTGGGGCAGGGCAGTTGGAGCAAAGTGTCTTGGCAGCCTCTTAGAGCTCTGTCCTGATTTTAAAGAGTTTATCAGAGACAAACAATACCCCACCCCGCCCCAAAGGTCACGCGAACACAGGCCTGGTGTACAGCAGGTACTCGAAAAACATGCTGCAGGGGTAAATGGAGGGAGGGGTGGATGAAGGATGGATGCAGGGAGGGAGGAGGGGATGGATGATGGGAGGGAGGAAGGGGTGAACGGAGGGAAGGAGGGAGGCAGGGAGCGAGGGAGGGGATGGTGGGACAGACAGGGAGGAAGGCAGAGACAGGGAGGGAGGGATGCACAGACGGATGGGGGGAGGTAGGAGGGAGGGATGGAGGCATAAAGAAATGGATGGATGGACGAGGCATGGACAGATAGGTGGAGGGAGGGAGGGATGGATGGACAGATGGAGGCAGGGATGGAAGGATGGATGGATAGACCAAGGGAAGTCACGCTAACAGAGCAGAGCCTTGCCTAAGGGGTTCTAGTCCCGGTTGTGCCAGTCAGACCAGCCCTGGAGTCTGTGAAAGATGTGCAGACCCTACAAGGATACTCCTAACAACAGAGGTACCTGTGGCTACCGACTGTGGTGCCAGCATGCTGCCCCAGGCACTGCCCACCCCGACTCCCAGAGCCTCTAGACTACCCTGAGGGAGGGGCAGCTCGCAGCCTCCCCCACACGCCTGTTTCCTTTTGCAGGTGTTTGGGTGTCCCTGGACAGTGGCTCTGGGCCCACTTCCGCCAGTGGTTCCACTGCTCACGAGACTAATTCCTGCCAGTGGCGTGTGAGCAGCTGGGCGTCACCTCTGGCCCAGGGTGGTAAAGAAGCATGTGCCCTGTCCATGGTCCAAGAGCCAGGAGCCCAGGGACCCGGGGAAGACGATGCCCGGATCCTCGGGTCACCGTGTGGCAGCCGCCACCCAGGCCACCTGCGTTCGGCCGGAGTGTGAGTGAGAAACAAACGCTGCTCGTGTATAGAATCTGGAATCGTTTATCTGCCACAGCAAACAGCGTCTCCCTACTGAGAGAAACCGGACCCGAGGTGGTGCCTCTCATGGTGATGCCGTGAGAAGCCTGCAGTCCCAGGTGCTGGTGAGGAGGCTGGAGGGCAGGACTGCGGCCACACAGCCTGAGCAGGCAGCCTGTGGCTCTCCGAGCGAGGTCCCTGGCCCGGCAGCCCGGCCCCACCCTAGGCTGCAGAGTCGGAAATGGGTGGCGCCTGAAAGGCTCCCCGGTAACTCCACCCTCGGCCCCCCAGCACCTGGCGCTCCAGGAACGGGGGCTCCACTCAGAGCCGCCCCCTCCGCCTTGGGCTGCACGCTTCGTCCGCCTACCTCCTGCCTGCCTCAGTCTCCACCTCCCAGTCCTGTCCCGGTCCGAAAGGCTCCACCCAGAGCCACAGCCTGCGGGACGCCTCCCACACTCCACCCCTGTGGGAAGTGACAGCTGGCTCTGGGCCTTACCTGCATGGGACTGCATGTGTTCCAACAGGTTGTTGTAGAACTGGAACTGGATCCCACAGGCGCCGCATGTGTATGGCTCTGCAGGGAGAAAGGCGGTGGTCGGTGGTCGGTGGGGGGAGAACGGCCGCAGACAGCCAGGCAGCTTTGGGCGGAAATGCAAACACACAACCAGGCGAACCTGTGTGTTCAGGGCTCCTGGCCCAGCCTATCTGCCTCCCGTCACCCCACCAGTGAGGGAGAGGCCGGGGGGAGAAGGAGGAGTGACAGAGAGGGGACAACACGCACAGACCTGTCTGACTCAATGCAGCGGGTATTTATTGAGCGTTTACTGCATGCCAGGCACTGCGCTGGATGCTTGGAAGGGACCTGCATGGGCCACGAGGGGATAAGGAGCTCTCTGCAGGCAGGGATGGCGTCTCAGTGACTGCTGCTGGCCAAGGTCATGAACACAGGAAAGTGTAGGGAGTGAAAGTATGGGGGACAGGAAGGGGTAGAAAAGGCCCCGGCATTGCAGGTGCAGCCGGGCCTCTCATGTCCAGCCGCGCATTCCTGGGACTATGTCAGCGCCTGGCGGAGGACAGGAGGATGGAGAGGAATGCAGGAGAACGAGAGACGGAGTACAGGGAGTAGGGCAAAGAAAGGCCGGAGCACAGCTGCGAGGCGCTCGGAGAGGGGTCCAAGGATGGGAGGCGGGGCCAGCTCCTGGAGTCAGGGCTCCGTCCCACCACGGTCCCAATTCCTCCACCCACAGCTGGGGCTGCCCGGGAGGGTGGCCTGTGGCCTGTCTGGCTCACGCCGCCCAGGTCGGATGCCCTGGGAGGTCGGCAGAGTCCACTCCCTGCCCTGGCTCCCCCACCATGGGACCAGCCCTTACTCTGCAGGACAGGCAAAGTCCTGAAAGCAGGGGACTTGCAGTGTCTGCCAACGAGACGCCGTTTAGCTATGTCTTTTGCAGTCTGCTCCGTGAGGACCCCCAGGATGCTGCCTCTGAATCACCCATGCCAGAGGAGGCTCTCGGGGGAGGGGGAAGGGAGGTGGAAGCTGGCACGGAGGCCACGCCCTTCTGAGAACCCAGTGGGCTGGGGCCGCCGGGCAGGGCCATCCCCCAGGATACTCTGGACTCAGAAGGAGCAAGGCCCCTGGAGTGCTAGTGAGAAAACAGCTCTGCGTGGCCACTGCACACCTCACAACAGGGAGCTGGGAGCTGTCCCCAAGTTCTGGCTGCAGGACGGGGACGGTCAGCCGCGAGCAGGCAGGGGCTGTGCCTGTTGGCGACTTCCCCGCCCCCACTGCCTGGCACTGCCAGGTCAGCTGGGGACTCCTGGCTCCACCACTGACCTCTCCTGAGCCCCCCTCTTCTTCCCAGAAAAGCAGTGACACTGACACCCACAGAGTCGTGGTGAGCACGAAGACACGTAAGACATGTAAAACTCTCAACACATGCCATGCATGCAGTAGGCACTCAATAAATAGTGGCTGCCCGCAGAAGCTGTGGCAGCACTTGATGCCGTCATTCCTGGTTGTGAATGTCAGTTCTGGGTGCAGGAGGGGCCCAGGGGAGCAGCACAGCTTGGCCGAAAGCACAGGAGACTGCAGTCCCAGTCCCAGCGCTGCTAGTTATCCCCGTGTGGCCCTCGACATCGCTTTGAGGCCCGCCTCTTGGAGAGGTTATGCGGATCAGACAGCTCAAAACCCTACGCTGTTCCCCAGAGCTTTCATCAAACCACTCGGGCTTACTGCAAAACAAAGCAAAAATCACCAAAAAGTAAAGCCCAGCAAAAGAAAACAGCCACTGGTGAGTGTGCAACCTGTGCCCGCACTCGCTGGATGCTCACAACCACCTCGGGCTTCCCTCCAGCTGAGGCCAGGGTAAGAGGCTGGCCCAGGCACACAGCCAGGACATGGTGGCCCTGGGCTCACCCCTGGGCTAGAGACCCGGGCTGGAGCCTCTGTGACGATGCAGAAGCCTCCTCACTGACGTCCAGGCTCCCAGCCACAACTTCATAAAGTTCTCAGCAGTCGACCACATCCGGCCCACCTGCCTACCTCCAGGCAGTGTGCAGCCCGCTGCCTGGCACAGTCGGACCTCCGACATGTGCCCAGTTCAACCTGGACTGCGCAGGAAGAGTGGGAGCCCCACATTGTCAGACGCCTTTCCCCTCCTGCCCGGCCCTCACCATGAAGACCTGCCTGTGGCCACTCCTTCCTTGCAGGCCCAGCTGATCCTGCACCTGCTGGGGAGGGCGGGCCCTTTGCTGCTGTTCCAGAAGGTCGGCCACCAGGGGGCGCCAAACACCACTGGAACCTCACGCGAGCTGCCTTGGGCTGGAAAAGGCTGCGAAGGGAACTGTGGTAGGGATGGTCCCGGGTTCAAGGTGAGACCAGAACTTGGGGCCTCTGGCTCTTAGATGCACAGCTCTCTCGGCTGCACCCCTTTGCCTCTCCCGGAAAGAAACTGGCTGTGATGCTTACCTTAGAAACACAGCACTGGCCCTCTCTGGCCCACCCACGGGGGCAGGCTGGGTGGAGAGCTCAGGAGTAGGGGATGGGAGTTCCTCTCTCTGCAGGGAAGAGGCAAAGAGGGACACCCCTGGGAGAAAAGGCCCCTCCTGCTCCTGCCTGGCCCTGCCTCCCTCCATCCCCCTCTCCCAGCCTCCTCCCAAGGCAATCCACTGCATGTGGGGCAGACTCCGCCCCCACAGCACCCGCCATGCGAGGCCGGGAAGGGCCGCACCACCTCGCACTCAGCACTCACCGCTCGAGTTCTGGGAACTGCTGTTGGTCTCTTCAAAGTGGTTTTGTGCTTTGCCTTCTACCCTGCGACTGAAAGCGCTTTCTGCTGGGTGAGGGACCGGGGGGAGAGAAAGAGAGAGAGAGAGAGAGAGAGAGAGAGAGGTCGGTGACTGTCAGCATGGGGTCTCAAGAGGAAACCACGTGGGAGGCGGCCCTGGGCTGGTCGGGCGCTGGGGAACCAGTGCAGGGAGGGGCTCTGGGACCCCAACCACGCCTCCAAGTTCCTCTGGACCTGAGTTGCAGGTACCTTGGCAGAGCCCCAAGAGACCCCTCTGGCAGTGCAGTGCCCTCCAGGTCCTTACATGGGGGGTGAGTGGCCTGGGAGCACACGGATGAGACCCAGCTACGGAGCTGGCTCTGCGTCTCCCATCTTCGCTCCTGGGGAGCCCCGTCTGCCACACCAAGCCACTGGGATCTGTCACCCGCCACTGCCTCCATCGAATTCTGCTGCCACAGTGCAGTAAAGGAGCAGAGGAGAACGAAGCCTGCTTCCTGGAGGAAGCTGGGAGGCCTCTGATCCCAGCTCCACCAGCTGGGGGGCCCTGGGATGGCAGGGAGGGCATCCCGGCATAGCGGGCCTGATGGGTGAGCTGGGGCAACCCCGCCTCCCTGGAGGTCAGAGACCAGGTGAGGTGGGTCGGCGTTCACCCAGGGCTAGGGCCTGGCTCGCCCGCCTGGAGCAACTTCCCAGGCATCTCTGCTCGCAGGCTGGCGCCCCCCTGAGTGGCCCAGCCTCTCCCAGGTGCTCCCTGCAAACTCCACAATGCAGAGACAGGGTCTTCCAGGTGCAAACCACAGACGCGCTGTGCACCTGCAGGGAGGTAACTGAGCAGGGGGTAACCCAGCTTTCTCAAGGTGCCCTGGGCACCCTGGGGCTGCTGGATGACTCAGGGGACAGGCCTCCCGAGGACAAGTCCCCCTGGCACGTGCAGGGGACGCGGTTCCTTTCCTGAGCAGGAAGAACTCGCGCAGGGGATGTCACAGGCTCGCTGGAGAAGTGTCACCGCCTGAGACCCATTCGCTCTACTTAATCCAGCCTTCCTCAAGCGTACTGGGGGCTTCCGCAGAAACAGGGAGCCTGGGAACCCACTTCGGGAAATGCAATTTTTCTCCCAGCCCACTCTACACGGGAAGGGAGTAAACTCAGGCTGTGGTTCCGGATGACCACAGGAGAGATGGATGGGAGAGGAAGCCAGAGGTGGCTGCTACAGGCCCTGCTCAATCCCCGGCCCCTCCCCCCGCAAGGCCTCCTGGAGCAGCCTCCTTCCTGCAGGGGCTGCTCACCCCCTCACAGGGCGGGCCCGGGCTTCCCACGTGCTGCCAAGATGCCTGGGCTCAGCCTCAGGAGGGCACCCGCCAGACGGCAAAGACGCCATCCGCCTCCACGCTCTGTCTCGGGAGAGGGGAGGGGCGGTCACGCTGGCTCAGACACTCCGTCCCCCGGCCTCCCTCTGTATCTTCCCAGTAGCCCGAGGAGGGGCTGCACTGTCACTCCCACCCTGCAGGTGGAGAAACAGGAGGGACAGTGTCCAGTTCCTGGGCTGGATGTGTGCTAACGCCTTCATTCCTGGGGCAGGCGCTGCCTTTTGCTCAAGGTCCAGGGTGGAGACCTGGGCTACACGGAGCAAATGACACCCTTTGAGGGGGGCTTTGTGTACTGACCAACGCATGCGCAGGACTTAGCGCTGCTGAGGCCACCGACTCCTCCGGGCAGCAGTGGTTTCCTACTGCGCACAACCTGCCCTGTCTCTGGCACCTCCGGCTGCAAACCAGTGTGTGTGTGTGTGTGGTCCCGCAGTGTGTGTGCGTGTGTGTGTATACGCATGTGTGTGTGCATGGTCCCACAGTGTGTGTGTGTGTGTATGTGTGCGGTCCTGCAGTGTGTGTGTATGTGTGTGTGGTCCCGCAGTGTGTGTGTGTGTGTTGTCGCTCCCCATCTTCGTGGAGGAACGACACAGGACCCTGCGCTGTTCTTTCGTCTGCTCGGCCCTCCCCGGGTTTGCTGCTGGTTCTTCCCGGGTTTGCTGCTGGTCCTTCCCGGGTTGGCTACCGTCCCTTCCACCTCCGTGGAAGGGCGGTTCCCCCTGCCACATTCCCCACTTCCGCGGGGGAGCGGCATACTGCCGGCCGGCTCTCTCGGGGCCTGCACAGGTGTTCCCCTTAGATGTTCCTGGTGCATGCCGTCTCTCTCCTCCTTTATAGTCCTCTTCCACCAATCCCAACTCGGCTGCCCACACGCCGAGTACGCTGCTCTCTTCCAATCAGGAGCAGGTCCTACAGTTTATTGGTTGAACTGGAGGCAGCTGCATAGAAGCTGTTTCTCCCTTCTCAGCGCCATATTGTGGGAGAGCAGATGCATAGAATAAGTCTTAATTCCAGTAACTTAGTCTAGTCCGAGTTGCTCCCAGTTGCTCCCCACATGTGTGTGTGGTCCCGCAGTGTGTGTGTGTGTGTGTGTGTGTGTGTGTGTGGTCCCGCAGTGTGTGCGTGTGTGTGTGTGGTCCCGCAGTGTGTGTGTGTGTGTGTGTGTGTGTGTGCGGTCCCGCAGTGTGTGCGTGTGTGTGCGTGTGCATGTGGTCCCGCAGGTGCAGTCCCCCACACCAGCCTGCTCAGACACACAGGAAGAGCCACTTCTTCCAGTCATGAGGATGGGGACAACTCCTACCTCTACCAAGTCCCATCTCCCAGCACCCCCGGCAGCCTCCTGCTCCCTGCCTGGGGCCTTCTTACCTGCCCAGCTGGGAAAACCTCCCCCCCCACCCCGCCCCAACAGGTTTGCAGGCAGAGGTGCCGGAGGCAGGGCAGGTTGTGCGCGGCGGGCAGCTCCTATGGAAGTGAGTTTTCTGAAGGGTGGGGGATGCCAGCTCAGGGCAACATGGTCCAGGCAGGTGACAGTAGAGGACGACCTGGGCTGGATGTAGACAACAATGTGTGCACGGTGAGGGAACACCGGTCACGTGGCCACGGTGTTGGGGCTGCAGTAGGGAGGGAGTGGTGGGGACTGTGGCGGGCACATGCCCCCGTGAAGGAGGCAGCCCAGGCCGTCCTGCAGCACAGTGTGCCCAGGACCGCCAGGTCTGACTTTCCTAGCTCAGTAGAAGTCCAAAGCTTTACAAGAAACCTCCAAATGTTCAACTGTTGGCAATTAATTAACATTTTTAAAAATACTGTGAAGGCCAAATAAAATAGGTCCTTTTGGCCAGGATTTGGGGCAAAGACAATCTACTACTTTAAAAACACACATACACACCTGTTTGCAAATCACCATAAAACCCTGACTTGGGGCAAAAGAACCAGGCTCTGGCAGGTTGGGTTCCTGCTGTGGTTAGAGCCAGCCAGGGGCAGAAGCAGGACCTGGATTTGCCCTGAGGCATAGCGGTGGCAGGCAGAGAGGAGGCGGGGAGTAGAGGAGGCGTGGGGGGACGTAGGCCATCGGTACCTGCGGTCGCCTTGCTTGCTGGAGATCCCGAGTTAGGAGTGCGGAATGTCTGGGTCTGCGTGGCTGGAGGGGTGCGGTGTAAGAGCGTGGCACAGCGGACCACCGAGGCCGGAGCTTTCTTCCCCGGCTGGTTCGTCTGGGTCTTGGCAGCCACGAAGCGAGGAGACGGGGAGACCTCTGGATGCGAGCACTCAGAGCCCGTGTCCGGATCGTCGGGAGGCTCCCACCCGGGGGCGGTACCTGGCGGGGGTAGGGGCAAGTGTTCAGTCCCCGAGGCCCTCAGGGCAGGAGTCTGTCTGCCCAGCCGTTTGTCGCTGCCCAGGGAAGCAAGGACTCTCATGCCCACCCAGAGCCCGAGAAAGACTCTGGAACTTCCTGAGTTGTCCTGGAGGGCACCTGCCCGCCAGCCCACACTCAGTTACCTGGAGCCACTGAGCAGCCCCAACTCCCACTCCGTGTAGGTCACCCATCGCCCGGGGCAGCCCAGCCTCCAAGTGCTGAGGGCCCAGAGAGGAGTTAACCCATCATGGTCACCCACACTGGCTCTGCAGTCCCTGCTCCTTCCTTGCAGGTAAGGACAGAAAGCAGGTAAGCAGGGGCACTTGGGGGTCCACTGGGTGGGGGGATGGACGAAGGCAGGATGGCCTGATGTTGCCTTAAGACAGCAGGGACGGGGGGACGCAATGCTGGAAGTTTTGCAGGAAGCATGCGCCACAGTCCCTTGCTGTCTAGGGAGCTTGTGTCACAGCTCGGCAGGCGCCCGCCTCCCCGGTACTCAGAGCGCTCCATGCACAAGCTGGAGCCCTGAGTGCCAGGGGCTGGTGCTCACGGGGCCTCTGTCCCTGGCAGTGCGGAGCGGACAGCACCGCCCCAGCCTTCCCCAGTGCTGGCAACCCCTGATGCTGGCCACGCACTCGGATCAAACACAGAGCGGAGGGCAGTGGCCTCCTTGCTCAAAGAGGGGGCAAAATCTACAACTCCCTCGCCAGGGGTGGGAAGGGACCAGACGGCAAGGGGAGAGGCTTCTGGGACCCACAGGAAGTAGTCACGACTGGAAAGCAGCCCCTTGAAGTCCACCTGGCGGGGGCAGGAGGGAAGCAGGGGCCCCAGAAACAGGGAACCACTCACGGGTCCTTTGCCCACTACACTGGGACATCCAGCTGAGCTTAGAGGTCTCGGGCTGCCCCCTTGCTCCCAGTGGGGGTGTGGTCACCTACCCCTCCACTGGTGTGGAGGTCAGATGCCAGGCGCTGGGGCATCCCTTGGTCATGGCTCCTGGAACACGCCCCCAACTGCCTACCCAGCCCCAGAAGGAACCGCCCAGGCCTGCCTACAGAGACATGGTTGTCTCTCGCCTCCTGGACCCCCACACCGAGGAGTCCCACCTCGTGGATCAGGAAGTCGAGGGTGTGGTGGCGAAGGTCATGTCCAGGCTTTCCCTCCCCCTCTGCCACCTGCCCACTCTGACCTCAGGGACTCCGGGGGCCACCAGGAAGCGGCGGGGCTCATCTCAGTTCCCACATTCTCTTGTGAGCCACAGACTCAGCCCACACCTTCCACCCTGGACTCCCCTGCCCCGTGCAGGGCACAGCTTGGCGACCACTGCTGGAGTTCACTGTCACGGCCCAGCACCGAGTTTGGGGTGAGGCAGATGCCTCTCTGGATGCCAGCATGGTGACCTCTGGCCTCCACCAGCTCGGTCTCTGAACCTCCCCTTACTCGCCCCCGGTTTCCCCACCTCACTGCCACCGTTCATGGGGCAGGGAGGGCTCTCGGCCTGGGGAGACCCCCGGCACCAGGGCACAGGGACGTGGAGAGCACAGAAGACCCGCACCCGACTGGGGTGAGGAGATGGTGACTGTCGGCATTCAGGGCTTTTCAGGGAAGAATAACAGAGAACCGTGCAAAGAACTCGGAAATGTGCAGAGCTGAAGGCTCTGGCTGAGCAGCAAACCGCAGCTGCACGGAGGAGCCCCTGCAAAGCTTCAGGGAAAGAGCGCCTGGGGAGCTTTTCCAGCGGAGTGTAGACGCAGGGGCACAAGCGCTGAGCTCCTGCCTACTGCAGGAGACGGCGTGCGGAGGACTTCAGGCACTCGGCTGAGATCCGCAAGGGCCATGTGTTAGAGGAGCTACGCTAACCCTGGACTCAGAACTTAACATGGCTCAGAAAAGTGTCACACTGACCTGGAAGTAAAACAAACTCAACACTCATCAAAGGAACAACACGACTTCCACCAGATGCAGCACAGACTCAACACTCAGGTGAAGCAGGAACATGTGACCAGTGATCATCAAGAGGAAAAGATTCAGGAACACAGAGAAATGACAGGGATGATGGAACTAGGAGACACTGACAGTGAAACATTACAAAGATGCTTGAAGACTTAAAGGAGAACATGAACGCAATGAAGAGAAAAACGAAAGCTGCACAAAGGAACGGGATGGAACTTTCGCAGATGGAAAATATGACTGCACAAATTAGACACTGCAGAAGAAAAGATACATAAACTTGAAGACAGGGCAATAGAATCTATCCAAACTGAAGCCCAGAGGGAACAAGGCTGGACACAGGAGCAGGGTTTTAGCTGATCTGTAAACTTAATCAAACATCTAAAACACACGTAGCTAACGCCTCAACAGGAGAGGACACACAGATTAGGGAACTAAAATGTTTGAAGAAATAGTGGCTGAAATTTTCCAAATTGGATGAAAAATATGAACCTTTGGATTCAGGAAACTCAGTGTACCTCAAACGGACAAACACAAAGAAACACATGACAGTCAACTAGTGGAAAATCAGCAACACATTTAAAAGCATCTAGAGAAAGAAGACACACTAAAAATAGAAGTATCACAAGCATAATGAGCTCTGATGTCTCATCAGAAACAATGTAAGCTGGAAGAAAAAGGAATGGCAATTTTAAAAGAACCAAAAGAAAAAAGTTTCTCAACCTAGAATTCATGTCCAGAGAAAATACCCTTCAAGAGACAGGTGAAATAAAACATCTCTAGGTTGTGAGAATCTTTCCTCAACAGGCCTACGATGTAAGGAACAGTTCTTCAACAATAACACAAAGTGATAATGGCTAGAATTCAGATTTACACAAAGCAAAGCACAGCCCAGGAGACGGGATGTGTAGGTAACAAAAGGCATTTTCTCTCTTCTTAGCTACTTTGACAAAGGCCAGACAGTTTAAAGCTGAGAGCACCTGTTGTGTTTATAACATGCGGGCACAGTAAGAACAGCACAGGGAGGAGGGGAGTAAACGCACAACGCACGTTCATGACCCACTGAGGATGTGAACTGTAAATTATAGAAAACTGAAAAAGAAAAAGAACTACAACTAGAAAGCTAACAGAGAAAATTAAAAAAAAAAACACGAATATTATCAAGGAAGGTAGAAACAGAGGAATGAACAATCAGAACAAATGGGACCAGTAAAAAATACAAAATGGTAAACTGAAATCAAATTGTATCCATAAGTTCTATTCAACATAAACGATTAAACTCTTCGGTTGAAGGCAAAGACTGTCTGGACCAAGGAGCAAGAACCAACCATATGTACGCACCCAAACATAAAGATACAAATAGACTAAAAGAAAAGGATGAAAAAAGATACACCAGGCAGACACTACTCCTAAAATGCAATAATGGTTATAAAATCAGGTAAAGTAGGTTTCAAGAACAGATGTTGCCAGGTATTACCAGAACACTGGACAATTGAAACAGGGGTCCATTCGTCAGACCTGAGTGTAACAGAATTTCCAACTAGATGAACAGTAATTAATAGAACAAAAAGGGGAAACGGCTGAATCCACAAATGTTAGCGGAGGATACTGACACTTCTTTCTCAGTATACGATAGGATAAAAACGAATTTTTAAAGCAGGAAAGGGTACAGAGGTTTGGACATTATCAACCAAATTAAAATGACATGCCAAGATTCCCAGATACATTTTTTTACGTCAAGTGGACATGGAATATGTAGCAATAAACCATATAATAAGATATAAATCTAAAAGAGTGAGAATATATCCTCTAACTACAGTGCAATTAATTTAGAAATCAGTAACTGAAAAAATCTGGATAATTTTGGAATATTTGGGAATCGAATATATTTTAAAATAACCCTTCCTACCAAAAGAATTCCAGGCTGGATGGCTTCACTGTTGCGTTCTACAGAGCATTTACGTAAGATCACACCTGCACAGAAACTCTTGCAAAAACAAAGAAGAGGGAATGCTCTCCCCAATCCATTCTAGGAGGCCAGTGTCACCCTGATACCCAGCACAGAGAATGGCATTACAAGAAAAGTATACCCCCCGCTGGAATGGAAAATGGAGGAACTACTTTGGAAAACAGTCTGGTTGTTCTTAAGAGTTAAACATACACCTACCAGATGACCCAGCAATTCTGTTACCAGGTGTTAAGCCAAGAGAAATGAAAGCATTTGCCCATTCCAAAACTAGCGCATACTTGTCACAGCAGCTTTGACTACCTTAGTTCCAAACTATAAACCACCCGAACGTCCATCCATATGTGAACAGACAGAGCAATTTTATGTTCTTCTGACAATGGAAGACCACCAGAGTCATGCACTTACATAACAATGTTTGGCTCAGTGACACTCAGTATACAACAGTGGCCCCCTAAGATTATATGACCTAGTGACACAGTGGCTGTCTTGCTTGTGTAAGAACACACTGACGTTTGCACGATGCCGACATCACCCAGTGACACATTTCTCAGAACAGATCCCCACTGCAGAGTGACCCCTAACTGTATTCAGCAAGTAAGAGGCATGACCTACTGATACGTGCAAAGACAGATGAAACTCAAAACATTACACTGAGTGAAAGAAGACAGGCTGGGAGTAAAGCATACACTGTAAGATGTCCCTTGTGTAGAATCCCGGGGAATGCAAACTAGTCTACAGTAACAGGAAGCAGAGCAGTGTTCGAGGATGGGGAAGTAGGGAGTGAGGGATTACAAAGGGCACGAGAAACGGTTGTTAATTATCCTAACTCCGGTGCTAGTTCCACAGGTGCAAAAGTAGGTCAAAATGGACAAACTGCACACTTTAAATAATGGGCACTTGGCCGGCGCCGCGGCTTACTAGGCTAATCCTCTGCCTTGCGGCACCGGCACACCGGGTTCTAGTCCCGGTCGGGGCGCCGGATTCTGTCCCGGTTGCCCCTCTTCCAGGCCAGCTCTCTGCTGTGGCCAGGGAGTGCAGTGGA